CAGGGTCAGATTCCGGGTCGGTGGGCCTGCTCGGGCCCCTTGAAGGAGAAGACCGACTCAGGTGCGAGGCCGACCAGGGAGAGGCCTTCGTGGAGGACAGGGTCAGCCAGCGACCCTTGGGCCTTCCCTCTTTGCCCGTGGCTCTCCCTACCAGACCAGAAATCCCCCGTGTGGAGACAAGACTCTCCCGGGCCAGGCTGTTGATGTCCGTGGTGTGGCGCGAGGGGATCAGGAGCTGATTGGGGAAGAGAGAAGCGGGGCCGTTAGCAGGGACCCCAGGACCCACCGCGGGGAGAGGAAATTCAAGGGCCGGGGACAGAGAAGAAGGGACAGGACGGGCCTCCCTGAAAATCACAGACTCCCCTGGGATTGGGTCCAGTCAGGCTAAGATCGGGGAAAAGCGAGGTGCGGGGCCGTCTTCCCGAGGCCTCCCGAGGCCAGGGGTTTTAGAAGTTCACCCGTGTGCACGGTCTCATGTAGTTTTTAAGAATTCCGGGAACCCTCGTCTCACGCCACGAAAGTTCACGTTTCCCACGCACAGAACTATACCTCTTGCCTCTGTCTCTGCTCCAGGGAAGTATCTCTGCTCCCGCCAGAAGCCAATCTCTCCTTCTCTACGGCCTTCCCTGGGATGTCACTCCTGCAATCTGTCCCTCTCCCTCTCTCTTCTTCACCCCCCCCTTCCTTCTTCTCTCCTCCCCCTCCCTCCTTCCCCTCCCCCATCTCCCTCTCTTTCCCCAGTCCCTCCCCCTCCATCTCTCCCTCCCTCCTTCCCTTTCCCCATCTTCTACCTCCTCCCCCTTCTGCCTGTCTCTCTCTCTCTCTCACACACACACACACACACACTTAATCCTGGACACCCTGAGAGAAAGCCCTGACCTCACCGCCCCCCACCAACTTTCCAGCAGCGTCCTCGATTCTCACTTCCCTCCCGCAGTGAGTCGTCTTACAAGAGTGGGCCTGTACTGCCTGCCCTTCCCCTGGGACATGGCGCATCGGCCGTGGCCTCCGTGCTGACTGCCCGAAGGTGGCTCCTCCGTCATTTCGTTGGCTTTGCAGCAGCATCTAACACAGGTGATCACGCCTCCCTCTCGAAACGCTCTCTCCTCTTGGCTGCCGTGACATCGTGCCTTCGGTCTCCCTCCCACCCCAGTGGGCGTCCCTTCTTTGCTCCTTTTCTTACCTCACTCCTTCCTCTGGATTTATAAGGGCCGAAGCTTGATTCTTCTGTGCACCGAGCAGCACAGCTTCCTGTCATCTGTTCTCACCTCCCTTTTCTCCCACCTGACACTGCGGTCACCCACACCCTGCTCCTCGGTCGCCCCTAATGTCAGCCGTGGGTGACGTATCCCACCGCCCCCCCCGAGACATCTCTCACTGGAACGCCCCAGCCCTCATCATCCCCTGGCAACCTCCTCACTCCAGATTTCCCCAACGCCTTTGTAAAACGCTTTCCCCAGCCCCGGGTGTGGTGGTTCTGTAACACGCTGTGCGTGTGCGTGCACATAAGCTAAGATCGCTACTGACCTCACCTACCGCGAACTCAGACTCCACAGAGATGCTTCCTGAGTGCCGTACTCACGAGAGATGCCGAAATAGCTTGCAGGTAGGGTGCGGGCCGGGCAGGGTCCTCACTGTGGCCACAGAGGTCACCTCGGCCATCAAGGGTCCCCGCAGCAGGTGTGACTGTAGCTGGGACAGCTGGAGGTGGGAGCCGTGGACCCAGGTCTTGGCCAGCAGCCGGGCCACGCGGGGACCGGAGGGCAGGAACAGTGGAGGCGGGGGCATCCGTGGCGCGGTGGCTGAAGCCAGAGCAGGAGAGAGAGTGGGGCCTCGGGGCCTGTGCGTCGGAGCCCCTAAAGGAGATCCGTGTCTGCGAAAGACTCGCTGGGCGACGGTGGGCAAGGGTCTCGGTCGGGCTGGGGCGTCAGCATGACCAGAGGGGCCGCCACACCCTGTTGTCTTAAGACGACGTTCGGCCTGACCCCATCCAGCAGGGAGAAGTCGGCTTCAGACAGAGATCCAGCCTGTGGGGTGGGGAGCAGGGATAGATCAAGGGCTTGGGGTCGGTTCCGCACCGCCTTTATTTCGTTGGCAACGGGCTTCCTTCCTCTCCCCTCCGACACCCCTCCCTTTCCCCACAGCCAAAGCCCCCCCCCCGCCCCGAAGCCAGGGTTCCCGCCCCGCGTCCCACCCCCCATCAGAGTTGGAGCCCCCTGAAGTGAACGTCCTGGTTTTCCACCACACCGTCTGCCCCCACAACCAAAGTCCTCCCTATCAACCCCCCTCCAGGTTTTAGCCAAACTTAGCACAAAATAGTTCCTTTATGGGGCGCCCGGGGGCTCAGTCGGTTAAGCGCCTGACTTCAAGTCAGGTCATGACCTTAAGGTTTTTGGGTTGGAGCCCCACGTCAGGCTCTGTGCTGACAGCTCGGAGCCTGGAGCCTGGAGCCTGCTTCGGATTCTGTGTCTCCGTCTCTCTCTGCTTATCCCCCACCCACACTCCGTCTCTGTCTCAAAAATAAACATTAAAAGAATTCTTAGAAAACAGTCCCTTTTTCCTCCCCTCCAAAAAGCCCCATT